CTAAAAGTTTGTGATTATTTTGAAATGAAAAAAGAAAAATGAAAAATTCTATTAGGTTCTAAAATTCTTATGTGTATGCTTGTCGAGCATCAATCTCGCTAAAAAGGGAAATATTAAAGAAACCAGGTCTAGTATTCACCGTGCGTGAGATGGATATTATACCTGCTTCATAAATCCTCCTGAGATTTTTATTATGAAAATATTTTAATACTTTCACGGAATCGAAATCGAAACGTGATCTGCTTTAGTTGTTATTCAACTAAAGCATTATTAAAATACCGAGACGAATATCTCGTTTATGTTCGAAAACACGAGATTTTAGGACCTACCTGTTTCACCCATATTTTTTAGGTCACAATTTTTTGCATGATATTTGATAGATGCAAGCATCGGATGTAATATGTTGTATGCTGGTGCTATTTAATAAACTACGGATAGTCCTAGTAGGTAATATAGTAGTTCTAATTTTTAATGCATTTAGATTATGAGAGATACGTTCGGTCAAATGAGGTGTCATTTTGCGCTGATGAGTGAATTTTCAACGCTTTATTTTTAGCTCTCTGTAATAATTGTCTCGGATACGAAAGATTTGAAAAGGTATCCTCAATATATATGTAAATTCATCATTTAAATATTTTGATGAACAGATGCGAAAGAGCCCTCAAATAGAATCAATAACAATACCCCTCTTAGTGTTAGTATCATGGTGAGGTAAAAATAAAATAGTCATTTTTACATGTAGTTTTGATATACTTTGAATTCTAATTTATTTTATTTTTAATGAGTAATATGTCTAAAAAAAGGTAAGGAATTATTAGATTCAAGTTCATAGGTAAATTCTATAGTAGGTTCTATTCTATTTAATCTATCAGTAATCTCGTTTAAATCATGCTTATGTGGGTAGATAAATAAAATGTCATCGATGTATCAGAAAGTAATGTGTATCAGGTGGAATACATCTTTAAAGGTCCAGATTCAAGAAATTCTATAAATATATGCTAGGAATCTAGAGGACTCCCCATCAGTAAACCAAATTTTGTTTATAATAAATATTATATATTGGAAGAAACAATGTGAAGTATAAGGATGCATAATTTGATGCATTTCGAGATATATATATATAAAGTCAATTTTCTTAGTGGTTCTCTATTGTTTAATGCATTTATATATATATATTATATATAAGATTTGATGTCTAAGCTAACTATAATTTGTTATCTATATCAATATTTCTCAACTTATTTAAAGAATATGAATTCTTTATATAATGCGTTACTTACGGTGCCCAGAATTGGAGTTAGAAATTTAGTTAAATACCTAGCGATATTATGAGGAGCTGAGCCTATACCCGAGATGATGGGCCTTAATGGATATTAAGCTTATGGGTTTTAGGGGAGGCCATAAATTTTAGGGACGATCGGGTGGTGGTTAATAAGGAAAGCCAAATCTTATCTTCATTACATATGAGTTTCTTATAGGACCTATTAAATTCTTTTAGATTCTTAGAAATTTGTATAGAATTACATGTTCATAAATTGTCTCTGTCATTTTGTCCCTCAACATTTTCTGGTTGTTGGTTTGGTATCCATGACAAAAACACCAAGGTTTTTATCAGACGAGATATAATAATTTTATTATTCATATTAAGGATTTTTAAGGCATTCATATACCTCTTAGGTAAATTGATTTTCCATATTTGGCCATTAAAAGAGGCAGCTAAAATGCCTTGGGTAAAACCTTTAAGAAGTCAGAATCACTATGTTTGTATTTATATTTAAAAAAAATATTGTGGTCTTTGAACCATTTGCAAACTTTAGACCAAAACAAAGGCTTCAATCTCCAAAGTGCTGAGTGGTGGTTTTGGAAACATTGGTTTACTAGATCCGTTCTACCCATATTCTTCCAACAGCTGCGATCACATCCTATGGAATTTTAGTTTTAAACTCCTGATGTGTTTTGATTAATTCTGGTCACTTCGGATCGAAATCTCTCCGCTGTGATGCAGACATGCTTTTTTCAATTTTATTCACGTCCTAAGTATTATTTTTAAAGGTTTTTCCTCATTATACTTTAAATCTTTTTAACTGTTGATTCCAGGTAAAGTTTGATATAGTCAGGGAAAATTTGAAATAATTTTAACGGACAAGCCCGATGATTTTTCATATATGCAGTTCATTAAGAAATCTTTTCTACAAGTTCAAGGCAGATGGAATTCGATTTTCATATATTCAGCATATGAAGAAATCTTTCTATTCTTGTAAAAAAAACGGATATATCAAAGTGGATCAAAGGTAACACTTTGTAATTGAGGTCAGGTCAATACCATAGAAGATTTCTGTGATTACATAAAAAATAAATTTGTAGATAAACAACCAATCAATGCCAAGATTCATGTGGACACTAACAAGGATTGTCTGAAGGACTCTGGCATTTTCTTCCATCGTTGGTTTTGTATTAAAGCGATTATCAAGATTGTCATAAAGAATTCTTTATTACCTGACAAATTTGAAATAGATTATTTAACTACTGGAATTTGTTTTACATTTATTTGAAACAAAAGAAAAAGATAGAAATTTATTTGCTTAAAACAGAACAAAACATAAACGTTAGATGTGGATTTGAAATTAAACAACACTGGCAAAATTTTAGTAGCTTAAAAAAACAGAAACATAAATGGCAACATTTTTATATTGAAAAAGAAGAAAAACATAATTGTTAGATGTGGTTTAAACTAAAGAATTCTGGCAAAATTTTAGTAGCTTATAAAAGAACAAGCTATTTTTTTAGTTCATTTTTATAGTAAAATATATAGTTAATTTTTTTATATATTAGTTAATTTTTTTAGTTCATTCTTATAGTAAAATATACAGTTAATTTTTTTATATATTAGTTAAATTTTTAGTTCATTTTATAGTAAAATATATAGTTATTTTTTTATTTATTAGCTAATAATAATTATTCGTCAAATATTAAATCTAAAATTTCCTGTTTTTTTTTTGTTTTTTTTTATTTGTGGGACATCCTGTTGTTAATATCGAGATGAATAACATAAAATGCATTTAATAAATTTTATTGTATTGAAGTGAGTACAACATTTTATTTTTATCCTAATGAGATTTATATTTGTTTCTGTTATTAAAAAAATGTTGTGTCGTCTTAAAAATAATGTCCACCATCGCTTTCAGACCATGAGACCCGGGTTCGAATCTCAGCAGAGTCGGGAAGGTGTGTTTATGTTATCGATCTGGAATGTTGCTCCCAACGTGCGGCACATTTAGGAAAGTGCCTGAAAATCCATAACACATGCTGACCCGAGCCTGGAGTGTCAAATTTAATTAATTTATGCTCAGCATAGTTGCAGCATAAACATGAGATGGGCTCCGTGGGTATTGAACAAACACAAAATCTGTTCTAATTGAGTATATATATATATATATATATATATATATATATATATATATATATATATATAGTCTGTTCCAATTGAGTATATATATATATATATATACGTATATATATATAGTCTGTTCCCATTGAGTTTTATATATATATATATATATATATATATATATATATATATATATATATATATATGTATGTATATATATAAACACAATGTGAACTATATATATATATATATATATATAAACAAACTCGATGAGAACAGATTATATATATATATAAAAATCAATGAGAACAGACTATATATATATATATATATATATATATATATATATATATATATATATATATATATATATATATATTGTCATCTACAGACTGTTTCACAGCTCATCAGTGTGCCTAGCCATCCGATTGCCTCAAGCCGAAACCCCGACTGATGTAGTAACAGTCGGAGATTTTATATCCTATGCCGTTATATATATATATATATATATATATATATATAGTTGTTTATATTCTGCCCTTTGCTTTCAATTACGAACCATTATATTTATTTCGTGACCCACTGAAATATCTGTACCCACAGTTCCAGTGTTTTTCTTACAGTCTTAATAAACAGCAAGTATTACCATTATATGAACTTTATAACAAACTGTTATTGCTCTCCCAGTATCGATGGGGTTTTCCTTCCTAGCTTTTATTTGAAGTAGTGTGGAATGTCAACATCTTATTATTTTCTCTTCGAGTTACATGTATTATCTCTTTTAGTTAGTTTTTGCTTAGTAGGCCCAAACCGTAGAACAGATTCAAAAAAAAGCCGTGTTGTAGCGGTCACCGCTGGAGTAAAAAGAAATTTAAGAATAACTAGACTACCTTTGACCCGTTGTTTCACTGACAGTTCAACATTGAGTTCAAAATTAAAATATCGTCCGTTTGAAAAAAGTTGAAAAAAAATTACTGTATAATCAACTCGTATTTTTAAATCTTATTCACTTAAAATATTTTTAAATCAGATTAACTTAAAAATATATTTTTAATATGCCGAAATATATTTTTTAAATATGGCAAAAAATAGTATCTGTCTATATTTCTGAGATGAGGCATTAAGTACACTATTTACATTAATCGGACAGTTGTCCTCATATTTCTTGTCATATTTATCACGACGTTTCAGCCGTTGTGCGCTCCGGAATTCTTCAGGCGGTTGGACTGTCCTCAATGACACATGGCACAGTGGATAAAACGTTAGTTAGATCCAGTGTCGGGATCCAAAGAGTTGTGATTCAATATCTGGTTAAGGCGGTGGAGAACTTGGAGAGGGGAATTAATACGAGATAACTGATAACTGACATCCATTAGACATGGCAAGTGGAAGTAGAACAGTCTACCCCAGCAAGTGAAACAAAGTGTTCCGTTTGATATTCCAACCTCCTGAAGAAGGACGGAGCGTAAGACGGCCGAAACGTTGTGATAAATATGGCAACAAAGATGAGGGCAATAGTCCGAATAATGTAAATAGTGATGGCAAAAATATTTTTTTTAATATTTAAAATATTGTTTAAAGAAAACTGAAATATGAATAAGCACACAGGAAATCACAGAGAGGTGGAAAGAGTAAGATGGAAAGAGAGAGGTGGTAAGAGAGAGTTGGTAAAAGAGAGGTGGGAAGAGAGTGAAAAGAGAGGGAAAGGGGTGTGGGGAAAAGAGAGAGCTTGTGTTGGAAAGAGAGAGAGAGAGAGTCGGAAAGGTGGAAAGAGAGAGGTAGAATGAGAGAGAGGTGGAAATAGAGAGGTGGAAAGAGAGTGAAAAGAGAGGGAAAGGGGGAGAGGTGAAAAGAGTGAGAGTGTGTGTTGGAAAGAGAGAGAGAGAGATGGAAAGACAGAGGTGGAAAGAAGCTTAAATAATTATACACACCATTTCCTTCTCCCCTATTCCTACACGATAATAAATTTACATCTTTCTTTCCCCCACTCTCTATATATGACTTTGTGTGTACGGAGGCAAACACACAAGCAAGCAAGTAAAGTTCACAGAGTTTTTGTATTATAAAGATTCATGACTAGGATTTCGTCACCTTGATCGCACCTCCTACTGCAATAAAAAGGCATACAGATTGTTTCACAAGGATGTGGTTGTTGAAATAAATCCTCTTTTTTTTTTTTAAATAGTCGGCATTTAAAATCTGTCGTCATTCAAACAAAGAAATTGGGGAGTGTAAGAATTTGAGAAAGAAATTACTTTCTCACTTCTTTTTTTGTTTACATGTTATGCCATTATTTTTTATTTTTATTTTATTTTTTTTGCCTGAAAGCGTCGCGATTGCAACACATCAGTCAGGCCAGGGAAATAAATTTTGACGACTTATCGCTTTTGTTAATTGCGTATTTTAGGAGTGCTCGATGCGATGAGACAGTTGAAAGCCCGTCAAGAATTTCAATTTCGTCTTTACAAAATGCTCTACTCTTCTGAATTTCTGCGTAAGTGCATTCTTAGAAAAAGGAATGCAGTCATGACAGAGTGAGCGTCGTAATTAGTAGCCCTACACCTACTTTCGTTAATGTCAGAACTTATATGAAGAAAAATCGCACCTCATACACACACACGCATACATACACATAGATAGATAGATAGATAAGCAGGCTGAAAGGAAGGAAGGAAGGAAGGAAGGAAGGAAGGAAGGAAAACTGCCATAGATAGATAGATAGATAGATAGATATGAATAGACAGAGATAACGAAAAGGTTTTTATAGATATATACATGGATATGAATAAATTGAGAAAGATAGATAGATAGATATGAACATAGATAGAAACATAGATAGATAGATTGATAGATAGATAAGCATACTACCAAAGATGGATATATAAATAGATATGAACAAACGGAGATAGATAGATAGATAGATAGATAGATAGATAGATAGATAGATAAGCAGACTGCCATAGATAGATAGATAGATAAGCAGACTGCCAGATATAGATAGATAGATAGATAGATAGATAGATAGATAGATAGATAAGCAGACTGCCAGATATAGATAGATAGATAGATAGATAAGCAGACTCCCATAGATAGATAGATAGATAGATAGATAGATAAGCAGACTGTCAGATATAGATAGATAGATAGATAGATAGGTAAAGGCAGAACATCGGCATTTAAAAGGGATTTCAATGCTTGTTTATTTTACCCACACAGATGCAAGTACCCACCAAATATCCATATATATGGATATTTGAATGAAAAATGGATAAAAAAAAACACTTTACACATTTTACAAGGACGAAAGGCGAAGGATGGTTCTTCGATCATTATAATCTTAACCTCTTCAATCTAGTGTCAACTTTTTCCTATCTTAAAGAGCCTCATAATTTGCATTTATTCCCAACCACATTCTTTAAGAATGGCCTTAAGTAACCCTCTAACGTTTGTATTTTGTGATCCATTAGGAAATATATATATATATATATATATATATATATATATATATATATATATATATATATATATATATATATATATATTCTGAAAGCAAGTAGGAAAGCATTTTCATTCAAATAATTGTCTGGTGTAGCCAGATAAACAAGGAAAGATTGACAAATTTACAAATAAATAGCGTTAATAAAGATTTTCCGATTCAATCCATTCAATCCATAATTTATATTTTTATATATTATATATATATATATATATATATATATATATATATATATATATCCAGCTTGTCTATTGGAAATAGAGTGATCTTTTGCAGGTCAAAGTTCAACTGGAAATTCTATGAAAGATTTGGCTCGTCTCAAACTCTGCACCAGAAATAAAACGAATTGTAATTTTTTTTTATCTTCGACAGTTTTCTAACTCTGCACCCACTAACAAACACTTGTGTGAGTATATATATATATATATATATATATATATATATATATATATATATATATATATATATATATATATGCATGTGTATGTATATGTGTATATACAATTTGTGTGTATATACATCTCTGTATATTCATATATGCGTGGCTCTATATATGTGTGTGTACATACATATATATATATATATATATATATATATATATATATATATATATATATATATATTTCAAATGCGCAATACTTAGTGTAAAGCGCCCAATATCAGTGATAGAGCTAACATATTCAGTTGTAGGGATATGAGTTTGTGATCATGGGCTTCACGCTTTTGAGATCGTTAGACAAACTTTAACAAACTCAAGTCTGTCTGATGATCACAAAAGCGTGAAACCCACTGTCACCAACATATCCATACAACTGAATATATATATATATATATATATATATATATATTCATCTATATTTATATGTGTGTGTCTATATGTATATATATGTGTATATACGTGTGTGCATATATATGTATGTATGTGTATATATATGTGTATATATATATATATATATATATATATATATATTTATATATGTTTTTAATTATAACAGACAACGAATGTCTATTATGTTTGATCATGGGCCGTTCTAATCTTTGTATAGTTGTTTTAATTTCTGATGAAAAGAAAGACAAAAACTGTCCAATAATTGAATATTTTTTATTATGCTGTTCCTCGATATAATGTTTTGGCTCGCAAGAGCCATCATCAGAGTGTTTATATAGACATTACAACAGAGATGTCCAGGTTTGCTATGCGACGATAACAGTCGCGGAATAGCAGACGCAGGCCGTAATTTCGTAATGCGGTTTTATGACGTCTTACATGACAACGTGAGGGACAGAAAAGTTATCAACAAGACCATGTGTTTAGATGCAATGTAATATGCTGTCATCGGTTTGAAATGTAATTTTTGTTAAGTGTAGGTTGCATTGTTTTAATGTAGATATCCTCCAGTATACCATAGCAAATCTCTCTCTGGCTGGACCAAAAAAACTAAGGAATTGATGTTATCACTTACAAAATCATTTCAAATTGCTTTGCTAAGTCCTGGGTATGATGATAAATTACATCCGGCAGCAAGACCTCTGCTCGGGAGAGTCTTTGAGGAGCGTGGAAGCATTTCTTAATAGCTGTTGTTCAAAGGTCCACCCTGACCCGGGATGGTAGCACCTGTTAGGGTCCCAGCTATGGGTAAATAGTGAACATTGAAACAAAAGTAAAACTCCATGAAAGTATAAAAATACATATTTATAGTACGAATTACCAACAGTACCTATTTATATAAAATAGAATGACCAACAATACATTTTATCTGTAGTTGAAGTCATACTATTGCGCTCAAAATATAGAAGTAGAAGCCATATAAGTGTCGTCAAAATATTTCGATTTCGGCATTAAATAACCCATAGAGGTGTTGATATACCGCTAAACAAAATCAACCAACCAACAGACGGACTGCTGCTCCTGCTCCTCCTCCTACAACTAGTACGACTGATCAGTCAGTCAAGTGCCAAACGTGATACACGGTTGGCCGATAATGCCTCGTTTGATCTATATCTGATTAGGTAGGCTGATTGCTATCCACGGCTATAGAACCCACAGTCTGTGCTGCTACTAAACCCATTGCTGGGATCAGAAAAGATGGATTAATATATTTACCAAGGGTATTTGTGTTTACGACTATTGAATTTTAACGGTAGATCAATATGAAGGCATCGAGATAGATAGGTAGACAGCAACAGACTGAGATAGATAGATAGATAGATAGATAGATAGATAGATAGATAGATAGATAGATAGATAGATAGATAATGAACAGGCTGAGATAGATAGATAGATAGATAGATAGATAGATAGATAGATAGATAGATATTAATAGAATGTGATAGATAGATAGATAGATAGATAGATAGATAGATAGATAGATAGATGAATGCGAACAGGCTGAGATAGATAGATAATGAACGGGCTGAGATAGATAGATAGATAGATAGATAGATAGATAGATAGATAGATAGATAGATAGATAGATAATGTGAACAGGCTGAATAAAAAATGAACAGGCTGAGATAGATAGATAATGATAGATAGATAGATAGATAGATAGTGAAGATAGAGTGTGATTGATAGATAGATAGATAGATAATGAACAGAGATAGATGATAGATGTGATTGATAGATAGATAGATGAATAGAACAGGCTGAGATAGATAGATATTAACAGAATGTGATAGATGATAGATAATAACAAATATTAATTTTAACCTCAGATAGATGGTTTCAGATGAGAAACTAGATAGATAGTTTTATTTTTCTTTTGTTAACCAGAATGTTTGATAGATATTTCTTTTTCTTTATTAAAACGAGAGAAATAAAGAAGACGTAAATATGATAGATAAAAAAAAGAAAAAAGAAGATAGAAAAAGAAAAGACAGAGAAAGACGGATAGATTCTCCCCCGATTTTCTAAGTCTAGGAATGGTAGTGGCATATCTCAGGAGATAGATAGAAATTTCCAGTCCTAAAACGGCCGGAATTTAATCACTTTAGAATGAAATGAACAGGCAATGTCTTCTTAGATAGATAGATATATAATATATATATATAAATACGTGTGTCTGTGTGTTTTTGTGTGGAGATAGATAGATTTGATAATCCGATAATCCCAAGAGGATGTAACCCAGAGTGTTCAATGTAAAAGCAGACCGAATATTAGTTAAATTAAAGAACAGATTAAGGGTCCATAGATTATATTTTATTTCCAATGGGATTTTTCCTGGTTCCTCAGATCCTATTTCCAATCATAAAACTTTATGTATGGATCCTTAAGACTTTAATTTTAACTATATATATATATATATATTTATATATATTTCATATATATATATATATATATGGGTGGTTAATTAGTTTTCCATTTGTTGGTTACTGGCTGGGACCATGAGAACGCAATTTGAAAGAATTGTTATTTCTTTTTTCTTTATTAAAACGAAAAGAAATAAAAGAAGACGTAAATATGGGACCGATAAGCCTCGCCTATAAAAAAAAAGAAGAAAAGAAGATAGAAAAGAAGAAAGACAAAAGCTAGAATAACCAATCAAAACACCCGAAGAAAGATTCAAAAGCGCAACAAAATCTTGATCCCAAGTCTATGGAATGGTAGTGGCATATCTCAGAATTCTTACTTTTGATCAAAAGTCGTCGTTAAGAAATTTCCAGTCCTAAAACGGCCGAATTTAATCACTTTAGAATGAAATGTATGTTTTTGATTTAATTTCATATTTTTTTCTTTTGATTCTCTGCAATGTCTTCTTAGCTATGCTTGAACTTTATATATATATATATATATATATATATATATATATAAATGCGTGTGTCTGTGTGTTTTTGTGTGGAGAGAGAGAGAGAGAAAGAGGGAGAGAGGAAGAAAGAGAGGTAATGAATTGTTTGGTAATCCGTATGGATAATCCCAAGGAGGATGTAACCCAGAGTGTTCAATATATGTATTTGGTTGTTGTTTGTAAATGCATGACCGAATATTTTAGTTAAATTAAAAAGAACAGACAACCTGTATGAGGGTCCATAGATTATATTTTTTTTTATTTCCATGTGAATGGGATTTTTCCTATGTCCTCAGATCCTGTTTCCAATCATAAAAACTTTTATTTATGGATCGCTTAAGGTTGTCTGTTCATGTATGTATATATATATATTATATATATATATATTTTTTTTTTTATGTGTGTTAATTTGTTTTGCTGCCGTGTATATATATATATATATATATATATATATATATTGATATCCATATAATGACACAGACACCATTTTATCACACACATACACACACACACACACACACACATTATATATATATATATTTAATCATGTGTGTGTATATAGGTAATAACTGTTTGTATATAATTACAATGTATGAATCCATATTTACATATAAAAATTTAAAAGTGTTCCACAAAAAAAATATCAATGTATTTATTATAACAGATTATACGAATTGTAGCTTTTTCTTGTAACGTATATAAGAAATATATATATATATATTTTTATTTTATATATATATATATTTGGATTTTTAAAATTGCTTTTATTTTATATATATATATATATATATATATATATATATACTTTATTTTAGGATATATATATTTTTTGTATATATAGGATCTTAATTTTATATATATATATATATATATATATATATATATATATATATATATATATATATATATATATAAAATAAAGTATATATATATATATATATATATATAAAATAAATATATATATATATATACTTTATTTTAGGATATTACATCGAAAAACAATTATAGTCTTCTTTCGATGCGTATCAACGCATCTCATCAGTCCCATTGTAAATTAATGTCGAGTGAACGATTTATTCAGATTTAAAAGCAAAGTACAGCCTCTTTTTACGAAAAAAGAAAAAACTGGTTGGTTACCAGTTTTCTGAGGTTTAGTATGATCAACCAATCGAATATGATCTACGTTAAATTTAAACTAAGGGAAGAAGCAAAAATTAAGAAATTATTTTTCATAAATGGGTCATGACCCGTAGGATTTAAATCAATGGCAGCATCTGACGTTAAAGAGGAGCGGATGTAAATGGATACATATTATACACTCGAAAGTGTCATTTCCTAAGAATAAAATGAATACTAGACAAGTTATAAGTTTCCTACATACAAAAATTCATAGTTGATAAATAAATAGCTTCTTTAAGAAACCAGTAAATAATTTAAACGTATAGAATTACTTGGTAAATTAATATGCAACTGTTGACTAAAGATTCTTTATATATACTGTTAATAACAATTACCAATCAATGCACAATTCCAAAATACCAACTAAATCCAAATACATCCGTACAAGATGATACTAACATTAGCAGGAGATTAATACAAAATTATATTAAATCCAAATTAATCTAACCAACAGAAAGATAAGCCATATGTGGTTCAACACTGTTCAACTAAAATCTTAAAAAATCATTGTCAAATTCCAAGACTCGCTGCGCCTTCTTGGCCACACGTTTTCAACTGACTGAAGTGAAATTACTACATCGAATCAATTGCTGCATCTACTGTAAGGAAATTTGAGTCACTCTGTCGTGCCAGAAGGTTTTTCTCGTCAGAGTCGATCTTGCACGTTTACAAATCTACCATTCTCCCGTGAATTGAATATTGCTGTCATACCTGGTCGAGTGCTCCAGCTATTCATCTCGAGGTTCTGGACAAAATTCAATGTAATCGATCCTGACTTGGTATCTCATCTACTGTCAAATTCTCACAGTCGTGACGTGGCTTCCCGCTGTCTTTTCTACAAATATTTTCATGGCTAATTCTTTTTTCCCTGGTGCCCGACTGCATGAATGTCAACGTGCCACTAGATTGGCAATTACTTCCCACCCATTTACTGTTGAATTCATTAAATGTAGCTGCCACTTCTACCCCAACAGTTTCTTTTCTCGCACTTCTTACTCGTGGAACTCCTTTCAGGTTACTTGCTTCCCTGATAATTGATATCTTTTAAAAATTTAAATGCAATGTCAATCGCGATCTTCTATCTTCTTGAATCCCGTTCATCTTTTGTCCTTTCCCCCCCCCCTCTATGACCAGTTGCGTACTAGTGGCATTCCAGCCTTGTTTGGGGTGAAATGATTTTAAAAAAAGAAGAAGACTAAATAGATAGATATGAAACAAGAGGAAAACACACACACACACACACACACACACACACACACACAGAGAGAGAGAGAGAGAGAGAGAGAGAGAGAGAGAGAGAGATGGAGATATCCGAGGCCAAACCAGTTTTATTAGCCGATCTACGTGTATTGATAAATATTTATCAGTGTGCGCCAACTTGTTTTTTCTTCCTGTACATGTGTGTGTGTGAACGTAAACACACACACACACACATATACACAACCATTCAGACGCATACATACATACATACATACATACATACATACATACATATAAGCGTGTATCTATATAATTCATTCCAAGTAAGGCAATAATGCCACTAAGAAGCAGGGGGGATACTGGGACTGAAAGAGAATAAAAAAATAATTTAGGAGAAGAAACTGACAAACGATCCTAAACAGGAATCAAGGGATAAACCTCTACTCCTGTTCAAAAAAACAAGAAGGGTGTGCGAACCGGGCGATAGGGGAACCTATCTACTAAAATTATTAATATTTTTTGTTGTTGTTGTTATTTTTCTTCCTTTCTGACTAATTTTGCGCCAAATTGCTAGTTGCAGAGTTAGTTAAAGGCAGTGAGATTGGCGAATTTCATCGGACATTAATCCAATTTACCGTAGAGGCTAATTAAAACATTATTCTCCGTAACTGACCCCGTACGTTTCAGCAAAACCCAATTGAAAACCTTTGGAGCATCATGAAGCGAAGACTGTACGCCAACGGACGACAATTCAGGAGCAACGCAGAGTTGTGGGAAGCAATTCTTGACATATCTCGCGGCATTACAGCAGATGACATCCTACAATTAACAAATTCTATGGATCGTCGACTTCCAGTAATTTCAAAACTGGGAAAGCACATTCCCAATTAATTTGTTTATAACTGCCTTTGTATCTGTTATTATTTGTTTGATTATCTTACTTATTAGGTTCTTTTGATCATAAACAATCACATGCAACATTAATAAACGTTTTGTGTGCTCAATTCTGGGAGTTTTACAAAACCTTTCTAATGATTTGGCACGGTCAAATCACCGTGCTGATAACAAATATGGCGCCAGTTTGTTTACATTGCGCAGATCAGTACGAAAATTTCAGTGATTGCACAGGTCAGTGTTGCCAATATGGTGTGAAAATTTTGTGTGAATTGATTGGACGATTTTTGAAATATTAGAAAAAAAGTTATCTCGATAATAATTCGGCACGCAGTGTATATATAATATTCTGTGATTTCTATTTTTCCATCTGTCATACTGTCTAAAATAGCGATACATTGATCGATCGAAATCAAATTTTACGGGGAAGTGCAAATAAGTAAAGGATTTACAAAGTACACTTGGTTTAACTAGGGTGCGTAGCTTAGTACAGTAAAGTTCCATTAATGTTTTCGGAAAATTTAAAAATTTCTATTATTTAGCATTCAAAATATTCCCATTATTTTAAAAACAATTTAATGATTAAAATAATAAATACTTATTTAATAAAAATGCAATATTGTTTTTTACCTATCTTTCTTAAAGTTTTACATACAAGAATCAAGTTTTACAGTTCGCCCTGCGTTTGCGAGAACTATAAACAAATCATAAGGCCAAGATGGAATTTGGCTCCGGAAATAAATATTTACGCATGGTCAGTTGTATGCTGCGGTCTCACGAGTAAGAAATCCTAAGAATTTATTCTTCACTGTTAAAAATGAAAAAAAAATAAAAATAAAAATTTCTTAAAAAATATTATTTAACATGAAGTTCTATA